AGTAAACTCGCAATGGCAGGTGGTGGATGTGGTGGTACCACCACCACCACCACCCACCCGCGACCACGCACCACCACCAGCTACCCATCACCCACCGTCACCACTTTCCACAACCGTCTTTCGCCAGTACTTGCCACCACTTGCTATTTCTCACTCTTTTTTATATTTTTAAATTTTTTAAAACATTTTATCAATTACCAAACGCGTTTGTAGTTTATGATTTTCTAAAAATAAACAAAAATCAATTTATAAAATTTTTGTAAATATAAATTAAAGACGTAAACGTTACCAAACATAACTCTTTTTTGTTTTGTTTTTGTGTGTTATCATGTCAATCATTTTGAATTCATATACGTTCATATTGTGTTAACTTATCATGTCAAAAATAAATAAATAAAAATCACTCTTAGCTAAAAATATCTAGTCGATGAAAATATTAAATTTGTTTCCTCACAAATTAAATTTGATGATCTAATATCTATTAAATGAAATTATTCATAAAAATATTTAATTTCAACTCAGTTTCATTTATTTATTTTGAAAAACTAAATTCTATTTTTTGTTTGTTATCTTTGTTTACTAGATTAACTCCAAAATAATAAATGAAATCATCTCAAATAGAAAACAATATATATATATATATATTAATTCCAAAATTCTATTTTTACATATTTTTTTAATTCAACATCTATGGAATTAGAATGGGGAAATTACACATCAGTAGAATTTTCATAAAATATTTAAAGATTAGTAAAAAAAATAAAAATAATTATGAATATAATTATTAATGTTTATAAATTTTACCATTAATTTTTTTTTTTAAATACACTAAGTTGTAATTCTCACGGTTAGGTAAAAGGATTTAAAATGTCTCTTACTAAAATTAACATTAAAATGTAATTAATTTTTCATTAATCGAGTTACTCATGTCAATTTCATATTATGTGGATTTGAAATTGACCATTACGTGTTTATTTATCATGTTATAATGTTGTGTACCATAATCTAATTCATGTCAAAAAACAATCAATCCTTAACATACAAACTCCATATAAAATACATTAGTCATGTTAATATATCGTATTGAAAATTTTCACCCTAACTACATATGCAGGTGCATATGCATATGCTTCCACACAAGCAGTAGCAACTCAAAGATTTTTAAGGCTTCAAACTAAACGCCAAAATAAGATCTTATTGGATCTGAGGCTATACCCGTTCTTTGCACGACATGTATCTTAAGTTAATGATAATACTAATATGAGAGTTATTGTGGAGCGGATGTTAAGATTTAAATCTAATCTTATTAATAAATTTTATACAAAATATTAAATATCAACATATTTTAAAGTTAAAATATCTTATGAGGAGCACGTTTTCATTACCCGTCAACGTCACAAATCAATTTAAGTTATTCATTTATATAAAGTGCATGGCACACATATAAATGAATGGCTTGGATTGATTTGTGATAATGCTACATGAGGCACTTTTATGAGAGCTATTGTAGAGCTGATGTTACAGTTCAAATCTAATCACTATTAATAAATTTTATACAAGATATTAAATGGAAAAGGTTTGACATCTCAAAAAGGTTTCATAATTGTAATGATAATAATGTGGCATGATATGTGTCAATTCTTATTTTGTTACACAATCAATGATATGAGGCCTAACTTTCTTGCTATATCATTGTGAGTGAATAAAAGTGTGAGTCTTTAATATTGCTCATATTAAATATCAACATATTTTAAAGTTAAAATATCTTTTTTTTATTCTTATTTTTCAATTTCATGCATAGCATGGGTGGGTTATCAAACTCAAACGACTTTTAAATGAGCAGAGTTCAATTCGTTTGCAGCCTTACGTCCTACCTGAGAGCAGTGACAGAGTCAGGATTTTAATTCATGAGGCCACCATTAATCCTTAGCGATATCAATTAAAAAAGTTAACCAAATTCAATTTTCATAATTAGTAATAGAATGATAAAAAATTAACGTGATATCAAAATTATGTGTCTTAGATATGTTTTAATTAATTGATACTTTTTTTATTTGCTATTTTAGTTACTAAATATGATAATAATCATAATTTAAAATGTAATAACATGCATAGAAAAAAAGGAAAAAAAAAAAAGATATATGTAGAGAAAAACAATAGAGAAATGATAGAGATGAAAATAATTATAGGAGAATATTTTGATAAAATTAAACATTTATAATGATAAATTATAAGAAATTTATTAAAAAGAAAGATGATATATATATATATATATATATTGAAACATATTTAAAATTAAAAGGAAGTTAAGTGCTAGTTTGGCTAACATTTTGGAATTAAAAAAAAAGTACAAAATAAGCTATATAAGTTTATAAGATAAAATATCACTTTTTACTTATAATCATCACACTTTTTCTCTCACAAAAGTCAAAAAAATCTCAAAATAAAAATTAAACGAGGCTAAAAAAGTCAGAGACTAAAAAAATTAATTATATTAACCAATGTCAAACGATCCTAAATGAATTTTTTTTTTTACAATTAGAGATAAAAGTGTAATTTTCACCCAGACCCTATGTAGCTCCATCCTAGCCTGAGAGGGTTACAAAGCTAATGGTTAAGAGAGAGAGAGAGAGCACATACCATGAGAAGCAAAATGACCATTCTTTCTAAGCAGGTCCAAGTGATAGTACAAAGTCAAGACCAAAGCTGGTTCAGTCCAGAATGAAACATGAACTAGGTTATACTTCTTCGCAATCACCGACGGCCAAACAAAGAAAGTGTCGGCGATCAAACAAGTTACCGGACACTCCGACTCCAACTCCGACCGAACTATCTTTCCGACAAGTTCGTCCACGTGGGCCGAAAAAACATGCAGTAGACACTCCATGAACTGGTCGTGATTCAGAGACCGGTCAAAACCCAGCGGAAGACCGTCGCAGACCGTTGCGTATCGGATGTCAAGGCCGGAATTACGTGCTCCGGCGAAGAAATCACCGCCGTCTACGGCGGTGGAGGATGGTGGTGGTGGTGGTGGGTTGGATTTGGATATTTGGTGGTGGATGGGTTGAGTGTTGATGAAAGTGATGGTGACGCCTTTTGATGCGAGCTTGATGGCTAGGTGGACGGTGGGGATTATATGGCCTTGGAGAGGGTATGCAATCATGATAGCATGAAGCTTTTTGTGATCCTTATCAGCCATTGTATTTGTTTGTGTGTGTGTGTGTGTGATGAGAGAGGAGAGAGAGAGAATATGTGAAGTTGTCTATGCTCTACACAAGTCATTTTATAGAAGCAACTTGTAAATCTACCACCCATAAATGGGAAAGCATGGTGTGTAAATCCACCACCCATAAATGGGAAATACCATATGTGCCTTATTATAAATTAGTTTAATTTCATCACAAAAATTTGTTTATAAATTAGTTTAATTTTATCATAAAATTTTATAATATTAATTATAAAATACGTAATCTCATCACAAATTAGTATAATAAAAAAATATCAGAATAAAGTCATAAATTTTTGTAACATTAATTGTAAAATTTTTGTATGAGTGAATTTCTGACCACACTGCCAACTCAGTATTCAACTGCAGAGCACTGACAGAATAGATGGCACCTGAGTGACCTACAACAGAAAGAAGAGATTCTGGCAGAATAGATGGCGCCTGAGTGACCTACAACAGAAAGAAGAGATTACGACAGTGGTTTGTCCACCCGGAGGCACTCCGATGATCAAGTCAGTTATCTTTCAAAAAGATAGATCAAGTGCTTAACTCACTATTCTGAATATAAATTGCGTACCTTAGACCCATGGGGGTGCCTCTCTTTTATAGTCAACACAATCTTAATCCCAATAGAAGCCTCGCTTCAATGGACTTTTGCTCAGTGCTTATCTTGGACTCTCCAATAAATAAAGATAAACTCCCTAAGAGTTTTATCTTTATCCAAGCTGAAATCCTTCCTCATTTTAGGACTCTTGTCCATAATTTGCTTATCCCAGAGTCCGATATCTTTGGAGATAACCTCGACATAGCCCAAATCACCTTGGCGTCACGACCAAGACACGTGGCACCCTGGCTGACACGCTGGCGTCACCTTGGCCACGTGTTGGTACTTAGAAAATATATCTCCACAATTTTAAACATTTTATTATTTATTATATTAATTTGTAATGAAATTATGCATTTTCTAACTGATGTTACAAAATTTGTGATAAAATTATGTTAATTTATAATAGGATGCATGTAGTGTACACTCCTATAGGCTTCCCTCCATAAATATTCTAGAAGACGAGAATAATTGGATTTTGTTAGAAATAAATAAATAAATTACGCTATAACTCTATCAGGTTTGAAGAAAATACACTACATGTTATTTTATAAATTAATTTTTTTAGTTATTTTTTTACTTTTAAAAAGAAATATAAAGCAGAAAAAAGAGCTGGTTTTTTTATAGTATTTTTTTTGACTTTTTAATTAAAATTTCATGTTGTCAAAATAGGCCTAAGTTGAGGTTTCAGATTTAACTTTATTTGTGATTATTTATTTATTTATTTATTTTGAGGTGAAAAATAAATTATGTGTTTAGAAAATATATATATTTTTTAGTTTTATGAAAATATGTGAATAATTGAGGTGTATGACTTTTTCTTTATTGACTTTTGTAATGATTTTGTTTTTTTATCTTTTATTTTTTTGCGTCAACTTGTCAAATAATCCTTAAAAAAATTTCACAATTTTAACATAAATATACTGACTTCTCTTATAATAATTTTTTTTTTAAAAAAAAAAACTAGAACTAACATAGATGTATGAAGATATAAAAATAAATAAAATAAAATATACATTTCAAAAAAAATATAACAATATCATTTTCTCACCAATATAACTAACAAATTTGTTATTAAAATGGGATAAGTGTTACTTTAATTAGAAAGACTAATATAATAAAGTCAAACTTGTGTGACTTATTATATTTTCTTCAAATTTAACAACAACAACAAAAAAAAAATAAAAATAAAATAAAATAAAATAAAATAAATCTAGAACTAACATAGATGTGTGAAGATATAAAATAAATAAAATAAAATATACATTTCAAAAAGATATAACAATTTCATTTTCTCGCTAATATAACTAACAAATTTATTATTAAAATGGGATAAGTGTTCCTTTAATTAGAAAGGCTAATATAATAAAGTCAAACTTGTGTAACTTATTATATTTTCTTCAAACCTAAAAAGAGATTTATCTAATTTTCTTTTTTTTAAAATTATATGTATAGCTGAATACATTTCATTATTTTTGTTTTTCAATAATATTACAAATATTATACATGTGTATCATAGAAAGAAAATTATTCAATTGAAAAGACAACATTCGACATGTCTCTCCACTATATCTATCAATCAATGTCCACTGGGTATGGAATAATTGTCACCATAAAAATTTTATTATCTCATATAGTATGATTGTATTAATTTAAAAGGTTGCAACATTTATTAATATAATATGTAATATATGACATATTAAATGATAAATATTTTATGACATATATATCATTTAGATAGAGACTGAAAAAAATATAATATTATATGATACAAAAATATCATATGATTGTATTATTTGGTACAAAATTTCTACACAATAAAAATATTAAATTTATTTATTTAGTTTTTATGTGGTTAATTAAATAGTGGCTGAAAAAAATAAAAATAAAAATCAAATGAAATTGTGGGTTATAATTTAGATAGAGACTTCGTTTGTGAGAGTGCCGGAAATCATTGTTGTACTATATAAAGAGATAATTATTAAAAGGTTTAGTATAAGCAGAGTATAAGAAATTAGATATACTGGATATTTAGTTTTTTTGGTGAGAGATTCATCTTTTGTGAAATAATTTAGTGAGAAATCTTTTATATTGTTTTTAGAAAATATTTTACTTTCAATTTTACCCCTTAATTTATATATTCACTTTTTTTATCTGATGATTTTTTGTTACTATCTATTCAAATTCATATCTATTTGTTTAAAAAAAAAAAATCAATTTATTCAATTTTTTTTATTTGTTCAAATTTTTTTGACTATGTGTTCATATTTTTTTTGACTATTTGTTCAAATTTATATTTGCCTGTTCAAATTTTTTTGATTATCTATTCAATTTTTTCCCTTTATTTGTAATAATATCTATTCAAATTTTATTATCTGTTCAATTTTAATCTCTTATCTGTTGAAATATCTATTTAAATTTTATTATTTGTTTAATTTTAACAAATTTTATCTGTTGAAATTTAAGTCTGTTTATATGTTTAAACTCTATTTGTTTATATATATATATATATATATATATTTTCAACCCATTTCATCATCATCATCATCATCATCATCATCATCAACAATAACAATAAAAAATCTAAGCATTTTCAAAATAAATAAATAAATAAGAACAACAACAGAAGATTACCCTAATCTCCTATGCAACAAAATAGAATTACTCAGATCACTCGATCTCCTGTCACAGAATCGAAAACAACTAAATCCACAACACAAATTCAGAGCCAAAAAGCCCTAAATCGATAAGCCCCAAACCTTAGATCTCATCAATTTAACCCAAAATAGATATCTATATATATATATATAAAATAAACCAGAATCAATTTCTTCAAATCTAGTTCAAATTCAATACACACGACTCATAAACACTAATAACATACTAGTAATGCTAGAGATCCCAAAATTTTTACCAAATCATATATATACCTGTGGTGAAATGGCTCATATGTATGGATCTGTGTTTCATATATCTGTATTGATGATGTTGTTGATCTAAGGGAGGACGAGTTAGGTTGACCCACACCTCCAACGCCTTTTATCGGTCTCGGAGCTCGCTGGTGGTGCCGGCAAAAAGGTCCAACGAGGAATGGGAGTCCCCTAGCGGACCCTTCGACGATCAAGTTAGAACAAAAGGGATTGATTGTGTAGAGAGAGAGAGAGAGAGAGAGAGAGAGAGAGAGAGAGAAAGAGAGAGAGAAGAAGAAGAAGAAGAAGAAGAAGAATGATGAACTTAACCTTTGACGTGTCTTGGAAACTTTCTTATATCCTTTGTCTATTATTTTCTTGTCCACTCCAACCTGTTGTGTTGGCCGAAAGTCTATACTCTAGCTTGCATTGTTCACTGTGAGGCTGCTTGTTCCGACGTAAAGGGGTTGTTGCATTTAATGCTGTGGGAGCCTCATTAATGACTGATGTGTGGTGCAATAACTCTGCAGGATCTTTGTTTGCTTACGTGGCTGGTTCCTTGCTTGACAAGTGTTTAGATGCCATTGGTTCCTGGTTCAACATTGGGTTCTCAAGGGTGCTGGGCTTTAGTAATTGAACTGTGAATTGGGCTCTAAGTTGTGGGCCAGAACCTTTTGTAGGCCCACCGATGTTAGTAGTCCCTCATTCCCAAGTGCAGCTTTAGTCCAACGAAGAGAATAAGAAGAAAAATGGTAAGTGTCGTTTCAAGACAAGGGGGATGATCGACCGTGGAGGTGGCCGAGCGAAAGGAACGACCGAGAGGAGGGCCGACCGTGAAGGGGGTCGAGCAAAAAGATCGATCGAAAGGAGGGCTGACCGCAAGGGGGATCCGAGCCAGAAGACCGATTGTGAGGAGGACCGACCACGAAGAGGGCTGAGCTAGAAGATCGACCGAGAGGAGGGTCGACCGCGAAGGAGAAGGGCCGAGTAAGAAGACTGATCGTGAAGAGGACCCATCGCGAAGAGGGCCGAGCGAGAAGATCGACTGAGAGGAGGGCCGACTACGAAGGGGACCGAGCGAGAAGATCGACCACGAGGAGGGCCGACCGCCGGGGGGGCCAAGCGAAAAGACCGACCGTGAAAAGGACCGACTGCGAAGGGGGCCGAGCGATAAGATCGACCAAGAGGAGGGCCGACCGCGAAGGGGACCAAGCGAGAAGATCGACCGAGAGGAGGGTCAATCGTGAGGGGGGACCGAAAGAGAAGATCGACTGAGAGGAGGGCCGACCGCGAAGGGGGTCGAGCGAGAGGTGGTGGCGGCGCGTAGGGCTCGAGTAGCAATAAAGCAAGTGATGATGTGAAGTGGAATAGACAGGGAAGGAAAAAGGGTGATGAATCGTGGTTGTACACGTGGGATGATCTAAACTAATGGTAAGAGAGGTGATGCGTTAGTAGGAAGCGAAAGGTTAGGGTTAGGATAGGATGTGGAAAAGGCGGGGCTGTAACTTTTGAAAATTTCAAACTGGCAAAATTTAACCTTGATCCTCGGAAAATAAGCAAACCGTGGGCATTTGGAGTTATCCGTTTTACATACCTCATTGCGAGAAACTA